AACAGGTTTGGGGCGGAAACAGGAATATTATCCTTCAAGTCTTTGTTTATCCTACATAAAACCGAAATCAGGGCTCGAGTTATGATCAATGTAATATGGAACACATGGAAAGCAAAATATATCCATTAATGTGACCAAGGCACAAATACTAACACAACGCTAAAGACTGCACAGACAATCACTACTTCTTTGAAACATATATTCTGCTCCATCTCCGCTCACACCAAACATGCACTTACCTACTACCTAAACTAGACAAAAAGCTTCAGAAAATCTGAGAGGCTAAAATTTGGAGATTGACTTCAACCACACAAAGCCTACCAACATGCTAAAATTCATGTAGAGAAAGCAAATTCCCGAGGAGCTCCCCAAAGGTGTAAAAATATAAATCTAAAGATACGTTTTTACACAATCAGGATCGTAATTTGTCATTTTGATTAAAACAATAAGGAACTTTTGTAAAAGTGCTCAGCATTTCATCTTTTATGCTTAAGGTTACTTGTTACGATTAAAGTTTCTAAGATCATTTGAAGCCAATTGCCAGAAAAAAAATATTTATTGCCAATATAGATCAGACACCATATTTTTGATTATGTTTCATACATCATTTGCAACAAAAGTTATGAGATTTTAGTCACCGTTTGAAGAATAAATTCATGCTTTTGTGGCAAAAAGCCCACTTTTCCAATGATTTATAGTCATGTTGCAGGGTAAAGTAGACCACACTCCTGAAAGATTCTGAAGTTTTCAAATTTCCAAAGGGAGCCACATGCATTTTAAACACGCACTTAATTCTGACTATATTACGATCTTTTCCTTAAGTAAGTACTGCACCACCAGAGGAGCTCTCTATCATTCTGTCAAAACAATTCTAGAATAAACCGAAATATTTTTTTTATCCAGAAAGAATAAGAGCAATGGATGTTGCTTGAGCAAGCTGGATTTTACAGCATTAGCTAGGTATTCTTTCTAAAATGCTAAACCCACATTTTATATTTGTGGGAACTGCACACCAGAATGTTACTTTATGCCTACATGCATGACATTTCAGAGACAAGACCAGATTTAAAATTAAGTAAAAGTCACATTCTGGATCTTGGGTAAAAATCCTGGATGGCAAATAAGATTCCTACATGAGTCTGAATTTTAATATGCTAACAAATGTAAAAAAAAATTTTTAAATTAACAAAACCAAAACAAACTTACTTTTGTTTGTTATACTAAAGGTTCTACAGTAAAATCAGAGGGCAATTCATCAAGTCACATATGATCCTGAAAACTGAGAACCTGCAATGAGTCAATGAAGAGGACAGGTATTTATTTTGATGAAGTAACTTGTGCAGCTGCACATGTGCAAGAACAGACCATTATTCCACTGACATAATTTCCCCACCTGTACTTGGGCAGGATGTCTAATTTCAAGGCTAGATAAAACAGGATGGTTGAGTATAAAACTAACCAGCTGGCAGCAAGGGTAAAAAGCACAAGAAAAAAGACACACAGAACAACCAAACTATTGAAAATAATGCCTTGAGAGGGAACAACAGTCTGCACTTGTGCCACAGAAGGCTCCCAGTGAAAACCAAGCTCTGGAAAATCAGGCTACCCAAAGAAATCAATGACAGTTAAACATCCTACAAACTTGGGCAGCTGAGTGGCTTCTCAATGATGCCAAAAGATTACGAACACATCTGACAGCAACCAGTAGAACTGGAAATTTATTTCACCTAGGTTTAGATATAAATTGAAACTAGGCACCTAAATTCCCTCTACAGCAGAAACATCTACATTTCCTCTCTGGTGGAAACTCCAGACAGTGATTCCGTTTACTCTAAAATAAACATTTATGAAGAAAAACCATCTGGAGTTTTCAAGTCCCCCCCTCTCCCCAGCATTACTGGCCTCTGACTTCCAGATGTCTAAAAGTTGGCAAGATTAACCTCGATGTGCTCAGTTAAGCCACTCGCAAAGTACCAAAGGATTTGCTGCATCTATCTTCTCAAGTTTCCCCAAAGCATCTTTTTGTTCCACACCTGAGAAACTTGATCTGTTTTCTGAGCAGAATGTGAAAAATTCAAGCAAAATGTCCAAATTTATAGACTTCAGACAAAATAACCAGACAACTCACTGCTACTGTCCCAGACATGTTAGAAAACTGGACATGCCCAGTACACATGCACAGATGAACCCATTCATGAGGCCAACACCCCATCCATCCAAGTACTCATTCAGTTTGTGCAGGTGATCTGCTCTTCCCAGCTACGTCAACGCAAACTGAGCATACGTTGGTCTCTCAGCAGACAGGTCACCTGAACACAAGCAGGCCCAGCACTTCTTAAATACGTTTTTGCTGCTTACATGCTACAAAATATACATATTAACAGCTGGAAAGCCCCAGATTTACAAAAAAAGTGTTGTAAATCTTTACTTGCTGCTTGGTGAGATTGGTGAGCAGACAGGTATCAATGGTCTCTACAGTGAACAGCTAACTGCCCGCAGCCTGCTCCAAGCACACCAGTTGTAATGCAGGAATTATGAAATTGGCTCTGGAAGTAACACAAGTGGCAGCCACAGCAACAAAAGATGGGATGGCCAAAAAGCCTTCCCAGAAAAGCAAGAGCTCCAGCAGGTGTATTCTACATGGGCCCACACTCCAAATATGCATTAATATAAAATAGGCTGTTAGAAACTTCACCCAGGACACTAAAGCTTGCCTCCCAACCTCTCGTGTCTCTCATAGAGACCCATTACCACCAGGAAAAATTCCCAAGAACTGACTCCAGGAACTAGGAATCTAAAGATAATGACTACATTTCTATACAAGAAACAAATGCCTAATTCTATTAATAGACAGTCTTGTAGCTGAAAAACTTTTTAAAAAAATCAAGAAGCTCATGTAGAGGAAGGGGCTTTAGGAATAAAGCTTATACTTCTCCTAAAACCTTCGTACAGATCTGGCTACAGAAGAGGTCGAAGCAACAGCTATTTAGCTCCAGGATATGTTAATAAGAAATACAACACTAAAGGCACTTGAACTGAAAAGGAGCTATAACTGCATCAAAGAACAGCAAAAGAAATAAAGAAAACACTTCTAAAAAGGATTTATATAGGAATCACAATAAAGACTTGAAAAGGAACTGCAGCAGCAACAGAAAGATGTAATACAGAGGAAACTTTTCCAGATACATCCCATGCAAACCATCAATAAAGAATCAAAGCAACAAAGCTGCTTTAAAATACAGACAACACTACTGAAAGTGAACTCAAGACAAATGAATATATTTCAAAAGTTAATAGTCTAAGGTTATCAATGACAATTGAAGGATATATACAAAGTATTCCCTAAGAATACAAATGTAGTCCAGTACTTTCTGAGTAAGATGCATTTTAGGCTATTAAACCTATTTATCTGAACTATCTCAGGCTAAAAAAACAAAAACAAACCCACACCTGCATCATGAGATATATATGACTAAAATAAAATAAACCATTTTCAGAAACACCAGGAAATTCAAAGCTCTGAACAAATCAACAGGAACTCAAAGACTCAACAGCTGTGAAAATTCGGACCCCCAAAACACTGTAAAGACAAAAATATGAGTACATACTTAATATCACACACACAAAATTACACAAGTGACACTTCACTTTATTCTGGGTAAAATACCATACTACAAAGCAAGAGAGAAAGCCTGAGAGTTAAGACCACTTTCACCTGAAGATCCCTAACAGCTTCATGAGAACACACCTATTATTTTATTTAAGTCAACCCTAAAGCACCTCTTGCCTCCAAAAAAAAACATATTGCAAAAGCAAATGCAACTTTTATATCATCTGGACCTTTAAAACAACTGAACCCTCAAATACTATACAAAGCAAAATAGTTTTCTTAAGAAACAGAGACACACAATATCCTTCACTCATTCAGTCTACTGCTGAGGGGTTTTTTTTGAGGGAGCATGCAAGTAGAAGTGAGGAACGCCAATAAATTTGTTTATGACTTGAAACAGCCAAGACTAGAACAGTTTGCCTGTCATTAATATCCTCAGGATAAATTCTAACTTCAACACAAGCTGAATGACAACTGGATATAACATTAAAGGCACTGGCATTATAACCATCTACAATTAAATTGTACCCAGACTTCCGTGTAATGTCATACAAGAAGAAAAAAACCCAACATAGTGAAT